TCGCACTCCCGGCACCGCGCGAATTTCCACGCCACAGGAGTCTGGGACTAGCCAAAATGCCCTTATAAATCCGCCATTTTGTGGAGACAAAATTTTTACTGAGAAGAGATAGGAGCACGCATTCTATGTCTATTATTTCTATGGTTTGAACACATCAACAAAGAATAACTGTACCTACACCAACCGAAATTGAGTCGCTTTTTCTTTTATAGAAAATAAGAACCTGTATTTAAGAACCTGTTTAGCCTAATTTCACGATAAGCACAATTTATATAAGAACCTGTTTAGGCTATTAACTTAGAAAAATCTAGGTTCTTATACGCGGGGTCTTATGTATTTCGAGTGCAATTTGGAGGAAACCTGCACGATTGAGTTTTTCAAAGACTATCAAAATTTCACGAATCCGAGTGCAATTTGAAGTCTTTGAAAAACTCACGAATGTATGTTTTTTTTCAAATTGCACGAGAAACTATACTATATTAATTATTAATAATTAGAAAAAATTATGCAGTCAGCCGTAAGTCACATTTAGAAATTAAGAAAATTAAGAAATTTGAGAAATGGCACTGTATTTCGAGAAAATTGCACTGCTTTTAGGGAATCAGAATGGAGAAATTCTTTCATGTATATTTTTAGAATACTAAAACAATGTGACCAAATGGCATGCTAAACAGTGAAATTTTGAATTTTAAGACAATGACAATGTTGTCATGTTAGGTTTTATGCCGCCAATGGCCAATTATAAAAATTTTGTTTCTGCTATCTTGACGTCATGAATTGTTGTTAAACTGTTTTCAGAAACGTGATTTGTATCATAATTTACATTGACACCATTGTGCTTTGCAATGTATATATTACTTCTTTGTATTACAATATCAATGTTAGGTGATGATTGTTTTTTCTTCATGACACAATTTACTTCTTGTTTACTTCTATGAATTTCACTAATTGTTCCTGTGGCAGTTCTTGAATTTTAACATAAAAATATTTATATTCAACTCAGCTGTACTAAACATATATATGATAAAATTGTGAATAATTAATTAATTATGAGTTCATCTCGTGCCAAGGTGTGCACTCTATACCAGATTCATCTTTACATCAATGGACACGCATGGTGTATTAGGAATTTCTTGGTTTGCAACTGAAGCTGGTGTGCTTGTTTCCATTGTGTTTGTACTGGGTGCATTGCCAAAACTGAATCTTGCTGTAATATTTGGCTCAGTGGGCTGGACTGCAGTCACTGCACTGCTAAAAGTAAATGCAGTTGTTGTACCAAAACCAGATGATGCAGGTGCTATTGAACTACTGAATAACCCAGTTGCAGGGGTAGATGATATTTGTTGCTGGACTTCTATTCCATAACGTATATCAAGAGATGATATACGATTACCATTTTTGAAAGTGTGTCTCTTATCACCACTTTTACAATTGTTAGCCTCACTCTTTGCACTCCATGAAATCACAACAACACTATGCTGTTTTAGATTAATAATTTCTAAAGAAAGTTTAGCACTGAACATCTCTTTGTTATTTCCTCTGCGACCATCAACTTTTTGAACATGACTGATTGTCAAAACTATTCTATAACCACAGTACCAAAATTCATCTGATTTCAGCTCTTTGTCAATTCCAACCAGTGTATCCAGTTTATCTCTTGGTATCACCCATGTGTAGATGTAGCTGTTGCAGGGAATGGACACACCTGTACCAAATACACAACCTTGAAGTTTCCTCTTCACAGGTTGATTATGTAGGGTTTGCCTAATCTCATTTGACAGTGCATGATAACTTATTCCTCTTAAATAATGGTCATGGAAATCTGCAAACTTCTTGGCAACAGCATTATGCTGTACAATATTGTACAGATAATCAATAGACATCAATTCAAATCTGACAACAGACAGTAGTGGTGGCATTCCTTCACTTTCCAAGACACTCTCAATTCCACGTTGCTCGATCCAATGCATTAATGCGTGAAAAATAGTATTTTCGCTATCTGGAACTAGTTCATTACTACTTAGCAGATACCGCACCGAAGGCTCACACAGCTCTTTAAAACTTGTTGTCTGCCATTTTTTATCTAAGGGGCTGAATTCTTTTGCAAGAAAGGACTGCAGTGTGCTTGCAAGATCGTCAACATCTGTGATAGTATTATCAACCTTAATAAAATGCATAATCTTCTCACAAGTATCAAGGGAAACCACTGCAGCTTGTAAGCAATATTTAGCTTTCTTGAATACGAATTTCACATCGTATTTATGAGCAAGTTTCAAAACGTCGAGAAGTTCATCAACACCAGCATTATCCAATGTATCAATTTTATACATTGCTTCCAATAACATCAAATGAGTTTGTTCCTCGCTTTCCAAGATCTGAACATGAACTTCAGTGGCGCTCGATTCCTTCATTCCACCAAAAAACAAGGAACGGAAGTAGGAACTCTGTACGGCTAGCCATATGCCATGAATGTAGAATTTATGTTGGCGAATGATTTCTCCTTCGTTGGTAGGATAGCTTGTTGCTTCACTGCTGTTGCACAAAATCTCATTGCTAGTTTCTCTTTGCTCTTTACCATTCAGGCTGGGAGTTGCATCGTTGTCATCATTGGTGAGTTCTGATTCATGCAGCACAGTTTCACGTTCCGTGGTGACTTCTGTCTCGTTTGCGTCTTGAATGTCAATGCTCACATTATCAATCAGGCCTGTGTCATTCTCATTACTTGCTGTTCCGATGTGATCATCTTCACTTTCATTGCTCAGTTTCATCTCAATTTGTTGGTTTCCTGTTGAAACAAATAATACTCAATAAATAACTGAATTTAAGTATATAGTTTGAATTGTTTTTTTTGTATTTGTTCAGTGTGATTTAATTCACGTCCATATTAAGTCCTCACTCCCTCTATATTTAACCCTCTCTTCCTCTATATTAATTCCCTACCTTTCTTTATATTAAGGTCCCACCTTCCTTTATGTTTAGCACATGCACCTTCCCTTCCTTTATTTTAAGTCCCACCTCCATCCATATTAAGCTCTTACCTCCCTCAATATTTAGTCCCCACCTCCCTCTATATTTAGCTCCACCTTCCTCTATATTAAGTTCCCACTTCCCACTTGCCTTTATATATTAAGGTATTAAGTCCCCACCTTCCTCAATATTAAGCTCCCAAATCCCTCTATATTAGGCTTTAGCCCCACTGTCCCCTATATTAAGTCCCCACCTCCCTCTATATTAAGGTATTAAGTGCTTACCTTCCTCTATATTAAGCCCCTACATCCCTCTATATTTAGCCCCACTGTCCTCTATATTAAGTCCCCACCTCCCTTTATATTAAACTCCACCTCCCTCTATATTAACCCCCACCTCTCTTTATATATTAAGCCCCTATGTCTCTCTATATAAAAATCTTTATATAAAAATTTTAAATAAAAATCTTTATATAAAAATCTTTATATAGTTTGCATAACCATGGACTTTTGTTAAAGTGTTCTTTAGCTGGTATAATAACGTATGCACATGACTAATTTCTTACTCAAGATTGGATAATTGCTTCATGAATTATTAATATATATATATATATATATATATATATATATATATATATATATATATATATATATATATATATATATATATATATATATATATATATATATATATATATAGCTTAAGATTTGGTTTACGAAACACAAACAGTGCTCAATACCATATAGATAGAGCGTAATATAGTTTTTCGTTTTACCTCGAAAAACCACAACAGTCTGTTTCATCCGTATAGGAATCATCAGGTGGTGAATAATTTCGAAATTGTAGGTTGCTTTTATGCTATCGAAAGAATGTGCGGAATGCGTGTAGGCGAAACAATGCTTAGGTGAAACAATGAATGCTTGGGTCATTAGGTTTTGTTAACGACCTTGTTTACTCGAAACCGGTTTTTGTGACGACATTTGCCGAAAATTTCGCTTCTTTTATTGAGTAAATTGTCTTTGTTTATGCCTTTCAAAATGCAAAATTTTTCTTCCAAACATAAATTGCAGCGTTTTGATCCCCCTGTGTACGAAATAGCGTGTTTTAAAATTGACCATTTGATGGTATAATCCTGATTGTTTTCTTTTAATTTCCAAATATGTTTCGAAAGTTCCGTTTTGTTTGAGTCTTTTTATGACGAAAAGATGAAGTGTGGTTAGCGTAACGTTCCTTAAATGTAG